ACCAGTGCGAGGCAAGTTGGTGTGCGGCGATTCGAGGGAAGGCAGCGATGCGTGAAGTCTTGTTGAGATGTGCAGATGAGGAGCTGGCTGTGGGATTTTCAGTGGATTTCGGATCCGTTTTCTTGGGTCTGGCGGGTTTGAACGACGCCATTGGGTGGATAGCGCTCGCTAAGGCTGGGCTGCGATTGGCCTTACCTGCCGAGATTCTTGGTGAGTTGCTCCTGTGCGTGAGGGCCAGATGCGTGCGCCGAGCAGGTGCGTGCTCGGCCCCTACCGCATCATGCGGCGCATCGCGACATCGCGCGTGGGCATGTCGCACGGGCGGTTGATCGACGATTTGAGTTAGAGTATGCGTGGTTCTCGGCGCGTGATGGTCGAGCGCTCGTTGAGGTGTTCGGCGGACGCATGCGCCGTCATTCAAGCGGCCGGATTGGCGATTTTCTCCAGCGGGGGCAATGGTATGCGCGCGCATTGCGGATGCGAAGGTCATCGCCGGGAGGTTGCGCTTGCGAGGATATCGCGTCAATTCTGTAGCTCAAGCTCCCTACGTAGGGGGCGGCATGGGCGGCGGCAACATGCATGCCGGAGCTGCGCGGACTGCGATGGCCGAGGGGGACAGGAAGGTGCACGGGTCATTCCTTCAGTATGGAAGGGTGACCAGACTGTGCGGCCTAACCATGGCTGGAACAACGAGGGGCGCAGGCGGCGGGCACGTGCGGCCACTGACTACGCTGGCTACTCGGGCAGCAGATGCTGCAGGTACAGGCGAAGGTGACCACTGCAGCTCTGCCGCGAATGTCTGGAAGATGTTTGGCGACCGCGCTTGGCTTGCGTGCTGAAGGTCGGTGCCTTGCCAACGCGATGCCAGTGGAGTGTTTCCTTCTTTGGTTATCATGTTGGAGAGCGGTTCCATGCGGCAGATCAAGTATCAGTCAATGGAGGAAGCGTCTCGCTCAGGAGCTCATGCGATGACACTTGTGTGCAGGCGCAGATTTATCAGAGGGCC